CTTGGTAGATTTGTCTATAAGTGGTTGGATAGATGGATTTGGGATTCAGACTAGTGATATGGTTGCAGATATAGATACAGGATTAGTAAAGAGGGATCTGTGAATGCAGTGGGAATTGATGGACTCACTCAAGGACAGTGTATTTACCTGAAGAAAAAAAGCCAAGGACAGAATGCCGACCTTGTATTTATGTTGCCTCAGAAGGATAAGTCTCCCTTCGCCTGATCACTCTCATGTCCGGCATGGAGAAGTGTCACTCACACAAGAATAAAGGAGCAAGAAAACCAACGGTACTGGTGAGATAGTTTAAAGAGGCAACTATAGGAAGTATTTTCAACTTCATTGTCACATTCTTAGAACAGCCTTTCGTGGCCACCTGCTTAAAATTGGTCCTTTCGCCTATCCAAAGGTTCACAAGACATTGAACTGTCTGACTTGTTTCATCATTTTATCTCCTGGGCCATGTTTAGCACAAAGTATGTGTATAATAAATATAGTGAATGTTTTAGAATGTCTTATTAAGTATAGTTAGTATACAACGTTATTTGTATTTTTTAATGGACCTGTGACCTTGGGAGCCTTAATTTGTTATGTAAAATTGAGATAAGAAAGGGCCTCAAGCACAATACCTGCCACACTTCACACATTCTCAGAGGCTTTGCTGGCTCCTTCATTAACTTGTGGTATTGACCATTGTGCTGCTCCACAGAGCACCTTCCCAGAAACTGCTGGTGTCTCCTGCACTTTTATTAGTAGTAGAGGAAATGACAAAGAATCAGTGACCTATACTTTCTGGCATCTCTGCCCATTCTTAATAGTCTTTGCTCTTCACAGTCATTAGGTTGATTAGATTTTTAAGCCCGAGTCAGTGACTTGCAGTATATCCAACTAGAAAAATAAATGAGACATATTGAATTCATCATGCTGGAAGATAGCCATCAATGAGATGTTACGATAATATTTTTTAAATTTCCATGTAGATATATTATGGAGCATGATATCATAAATTAAAGAAAAGGCAGGTATAGTGGCTGAGGCTGAAGCAGGAGAATCACTTGAGCCCAAGAGTTCTAGGTCATCCTGGGCAATACAGTCTCTAAAACAGACAAATAAGTAAATAAGTAAATAAATAAAGCCAGAAAGTGAAGTAGTTTCCTTGAATGCAGGATTAAGATCGGTCATTCTCTCTTTGTCGGTCATATATAAAATTATTATAAAATGTTACTGTCATCATTGCTAAGGATATTAATATGCCACTGTTCTCCTTGTAATATAGAAATGATTGTGGATTTTCTGTGCTGTTAAGGTTGGCAAAGAGAAATTCTGGAAGCATTTCTCTTGTTGTAATGAAATTACCTTGCCTGATTCATAGTTTTTTGGTAGTGGTGGTGATTGCGATATTTGTTTTCTCCTTCTCCCTCTCTCCCTCTCCTTTCCACACCCCTTCCCTTTCCATCTCCCTGTCTCTTATTCACCCTCTCTCTGGCAAAACTTTATTTAGGATGAATTAAAGTTACAGGGTTAAATTAGTTTGAAAGCTGCTCTTGTCCAAGGGGAAGTAGTTGATGATGTGACCCCAGTTCTGGTATTGGTGTGGCTAGTAGTAGACATTCCTACTTAGACTCTAGTAGTTCTTCACATAATATGATGACTTCTTACTCCTTTCTTCTAAAGCCAAGCACTACAACTCTATAGTCATTAAATATTAGATATTAGTTAAGTATTAGAAATTGTCCTGATTAATCCCAAATCGGTAACTTCCAATAGTTCCAACTAGAAAAATGAATAAGGTTATAATTGCACTGGAAGGTATCTGTCAGTTGATTTGTCAGCTTAAAACAACAAACTATCACATCATTTCTAAGAGCCAGGAATCTAGAGACAGCCTACCTGGGTGGTTCTGGCTGACTCTTCGTGAACTTATCATCAAGATATCAGCCGCAACTATAGTCACTAAAAATGAGACTAATCTGGAGGATCTTCTTCCAAGCCTACTCACAGCTGTGGGAAGGAGGCTTCAGATCCTCACTCTGTGGACCTCTCACAACATGGCATCTGGCTTCCCACAGAGACAGAGAAGAGTGTGAATAAGGAGATGCCTCATTGTCTTGGAAAACCTAATCTCAGAAATAACATGCCATCACTTCTGGTATTCTGTTGTGACACAGAACAATCTTGGTCCATTATGAAAGATGAATACACAAGCATGTCAGAGAACACTGGGACCGGCTGTATACAGCCACTTTCTCTAGGGTACAAGACTGGCTTCATAGAGCTGTGCCAAGACCAGTTCCAATGGCATTCTATCCTCAGCACTGCTGTCTCATGAACCTAGCACCATCTCTCTCTTTCCAAGTGGTTTCTCTTTCTACCCGAGGTAATTTTATTTTGGATACTTCATTGCCGTCCTGTACCAGCTGGTGCTGCTCAGAGTCACTGCGTTCCTTCCCAGTGTGTTCATTAGCTCTGAATCTGGTGAACAGAGAGGTGCATTCCCTTCCCCCAGAAGACATAGCTTCCTAGTAGGACTAAACACTGCATGTCACCAGTTCTTCCCTGCGTCACCAGACACCCAGCTACATGTGATAATAATCCAAACTACCCAAGTATTATATTCCAAGCCCAGTCCCCTCCTTCTCCAGAGAACTGTGTCCTCCTAAGCAGCTTTTGAATTGACAAGAAAGGTACCTCCAAGTCTCTAGGATTCAGTTTTTCAGGGGTTTAGTCCCTATCATGCTATGTCTGTGGTTTATTGCTGCCATCAGTGGCAGCACTGGGCATTGTAAACACAAATGTCATTTTATAGCCCAAACAATGTGGTGTGTTACAGCTTCCATTGTTATGATTTGTGTCCTCATCATGAAGAAAATGTCAAGATTACGTTGAAGTTTAGTATCCATTATGAAAGTGCTTTGTACTTTTTTCTGTAATAGTTTGTATCCAGATTGTGAAATTCTCACTGTGACACATTGGTAGTGTGTTTAAAAACCAACAGATTCCGTTTTTTACTCCAGATTTAAGGAATTACACTGTCATGGTATGTGGAACATGAGACTTATAAAAACACTTGAATAATGTATCATTTAATAACAGCCTTTTGGGTATCATTTTTTTAAGATTTCTTTGGTCTAATGAACCTTAACTTTTAAGCAGGAACTAGCTACTATTTGGTTATACTCTTATATAATACTTTATATGAATCATTTAGATGTAAACTCTTATCTTACCTGTCTGTGATACTAACCAAAGAAATAGAAACAATGTCTAGTGTCAATAGAAATTCCCCTATTGCCTTATACTGAAGTAAATTTTTCACAAAAGTGCTGTCAGTTTTGTAAGGAAATGTAGGCCCCAAAAGTGACCACGTGGAGAGGAGTGATCTGGCCAAGAGATTCTTTATTG